TTAGGGTCAAATGTGCTCCTCATTATTCTCTTGAGTTGATCACAACAGGGTTTGCTACCAGCCCTGCTTTCTTTTGCTGCTATTACAATGCAATAGAGTACATCAACACAAAATGTGAGTCACCAATCCTTTTCCAGATTACCCCTATTCCCTCCAAAACCTTGCTGCTGCTTTTTGGTATGCCATCTTATAAACCAACACACCAAAGTGGAACATGCCTTATTTTGGAATTCTTACTTATTTCAGTCGATTAATAAGAAAATGTGGCTTTATTAAAAAAAAACCAAAAACAACAGGAAAAAAAAAAAACACTGGCATACTTGTGCTTAATTGTATTTCTAATTACAAGTTCTGGTGTAAATTTTTTCCCTTGGCATTATTATGAACCTAATTTCCTTACAAAGTCCAGGATAAACAGTTCTAATATATTTTGTTTTAATTATCATGGTTTAATGGGGCATAATGAGACTAAGTTGAGTGGTGCAGAAAAAATAATTTAATGTGTGCAAAACTACTGAGTTCTCCTATCTTGACTGTACATATTTCACTGACTGTAGGAAAGTAAGCACTATGTTAGCTATCATGCCCATCATTTATTAATCATACTTGCTTTTCAATATAATTTTTTCTTTTCCTGCATCTGAAACAAGAAGAAACCCATTAAGATATCCTAGAAAAAATGGATAATTCTCTGAGCTGAGCAGTGAAGGGTGCAGCTGATACACAGCTGATGGTACTAGAAACATTTGTCATGTTACAGACACAAGGCTGCAGTATGTTGGACACAGAACCTGCCTCAGCCTGTGTGTTCCAAATGCAGTCCTCCCACCAGCGTTATTTGGCAGTGAAAACTTCTGGCTTCAGTTCTTATGGCCCCTACCAAAATATGCACAAACAACATCAGCTGAAGTAACCATGCAGAAACCACTTTTTCTGGACTCTCACTCTAGGCACATTTTCCCACTCTCAAGGTGTGGTTCCTACAGATTTGAAACACCACAGGTAATTCTGAAGTGAAAAGATAAAAATGCAAAACAATAGCCTGGGAAATAAGCCAGTAAAGTGAGGTTACAACCTTTTATGCTTTCCGAGGTCTCCTTGCCAATGGCACTGAATCCAATGGCTGGGCGTGGCTGATGCAGCAATTAGCACCAGTCTGCTACCAGATAGATTTATACTCTACTTTTCCAAGTTGATCATATACTAGGATCAAAACACACTCCTCTCCCATCACACACAGCCTCACACCAAAGTTTTACACAGGCAGAGGAAGATTTTTGCCATTTGTTTGGGAATTCTGAACACCAGGCAGTGTGGTCAGCACAGCGATGACAGGCTGTTTGCAGAAATGACAAACACTTTTGCTCACAGGGCACATACAGCAGGTTTGAAACTTTCAGTCCTATTGGAGCCTCTCTGTGCCTGGACTGTACAGCTCACATGCACACAGTTTGACATGTGGTCTGCTGGACCGAAACAATAACAAAGTTATTGTGAATAACAATATTTCTTTTGTTCTGGCTTTCTAACCTAGGGAAAGTTTAATTAAGGCATCCCAAGATATCACAATCTACATTAAAATAAGGCTTTACACACCAAGAAAACTGAAACCGTCTCAAGCATAATAAACTCAAGATCTCCATGAGACAGGTTTTGTTACAAACTCCACATGAAACCAACCCTGAAGGGTTTTAATCTCTATGCCTAACTCAAGTGAGAGTTACAAGAGGCTTCAATGCAAGTTTCACTTCAGGAATAATTACTGGATCTTCCCTGAAGGAAATCAGATCTATTCTGCTTATCTATTTTCTCCTTGACATGGAGTCAGAAGACACAATACAGTGCCTGCTGAAGCTATTGGAAATGCCTTCTTTTCTGGAAAAGTATTTGATTCATAACTCTAGGAAGCAGGTTCAGTTACAGCACAAAAAACCCGCAAACTAATCAGCATTAAATTATATTTATTTGAAAATTAACATTTTATAATACAGGTTAAATTAATATACTCCATGTATTTGGGTTTTAAATAAAATTAATTTATTACAGACATTGGTATTTACAGAAAAAAAACATTTAAATATATTTTTTTTTTCCAATTTCACTGGAGGAAAAAATCTCCATTAAGTTTCATCCCACAGGAGTCAGCCTCCTTCAAGGATTAATGTAGACTAGAAACCTAAGCAGGCTTAAATCACAACTGAGTTGGCTGAGGAACTGCAATGGGCTGGTTGCCTGCATTAAACTGGAGCAAGACTGAAAGAATTCAGGGGACCCCTTCCAAATCTATGTGCTATGGTTCAAGGAAGAACGAAGGGAACCAGTGAGTACCTTTCATTAAACTGGCCTCAGATACAGGACTAGGCTAGCATCCAGTATGTTCTCACAGACCTCCAAAGGTTAGTAGTCATTTTTCTTCCTACTAAACTTATGGGGGTTCTGACCCCAGCTTTGAATCCCATTGCACAACTACTGTGTAAACACACACACAAGGGCAATCTCTGCCTAACAGCTGCAGCAGACCATGGTGGAAGATAATGGTTTTTATGAAGAGGGGGACTGGCTGACCTTCCATCATACAGAGGTGCAGCCCTGAGTCAGAAGCCCAGTTTGTTGATTCCCAGAAAAATGTTGACTTGTGTGTTCCCTCAGATAGGCTGTTAAGTGCCAAGGGGACTTTCAAGGTCTCTGCATTTGGTAGAGCTGCAGACAGACTAGGGGGAAGAAACACATTTACAGGTAATGCATAAGCAAGGCCTCTGGGCTAACTTTAGGCTAACACTCACCCTGAAAGCAGTCAAACCAAATAAGGTTGTGTTACTAGAAGACCTGCGTGTCTGTCCTGAATTGAGGTAGTATGCTATGCCCATTACTTCTCAAGAATTTCCAAGTCTTTCACACAGAAAGTTCCTGTTTTTAATGGTATCCTCTGGTGCACGGAGCTCTCCATGCAGGTCAGCATACTCTCCCAGAGCTCTTTGAAAGCCAGTCTCAAATACCTTTCCACCTAGCCATGACGAGGGAAGTATTTGAAGCAGAGCTGGGTTTCTGGTTCTCCAGTCTTGTAATCTGAAGTGCCATTTCCCCTTGTATCTTCAGCAGAAAATGGGAAAGTGAATCCAGGTCCACACCAAATGCAGATGAAAAAGGGCCCTGCTAATGACAACCACACCTTGTTGCCACCATGTCTTTATAATTTTTAAGGACCACATTCTCTTTGTCATCAAAGTACAGGAGATTGAGGGACTTCAACTCATCTGGCACACAGCAGGGTGTGCTGACATCTTGAGACAGTTTAAGTGTATGGACTATGGACTGAACTGTAGCATGGTTTGTTGCATTTAGACTTTCTCCCAAGGGGAAGAGACAGGTTCCTCTGCAATAAAATGCATTGTATCCACTTGGGTAAATAATCCATCCTGACCAGCCAATAGCACGGAAGTCAACATAGAGTTCCCTTCGATGACATGTTGTTACCTGGTTTTTGGCAGAAGGGATTGCAGCAGCTCGAGGTCTCCTGCTCATGCCTGCGTTGCTGTTTTCGATAACCTGAGTTTCATGAGGCACATGTGAAGCATAATTTTTGGCAGGGTTCATCTCTGGTTCTGAAAGAAAGGTGTGTGTTAATCTGTCTCAAATAACATTAATTTCCTAAGTACAGTATTCTGCATGAAATCTTCATCAAAGTCTTCAGATTAGGTATTGAACTGACACTTAAACTGTTAAAGCACCAGAAGGGATGTGTATTCAATTGCCATTTCAGCCACATTTAATAAACTGCCAGATCTTGAGTTTCACTCTGTGGCCTGGAAGGGCACAACTTATCAGAAATATGAAGGAAAAGCTCACTGATATACTAAATACAACCTGTGAACTCCACAGGCCCTTTATAGGGCTGAATCCTCTCAGCATGGTATTAACAGTCTTACTGTGGCTACTCCACAACACACATCACACTGAGCAGTGCTAACCGAGTACGAAGATCACAGCCTCTTTCTTTCCCTGGTATTCTCCCAATAACATCACCCATTTACTTGAAAAACAGAGCATGTAATTGTACAGTAGCATTTTTACAATTTTTTTTTTCAATTTTTGGGTATGAAAAAAGTACCATCAAGTTTATGGAACTCTGCTTGAGAATGAACCTGATGGACAACTGGTTTTCTTTCTTAAAGTATCTGCTGAGAATCCTTCAAAAATGTTCATGAAGACCTCAAGATCCAGGTACACAAACTGAAAATCACAGATATACTGGCTAGCAGAAGAGCAAATAGCAGAGATTCACTGACCAAAAACAACAGCTAGGTCCAGAGAGTTTCTTCATTGCAAAATGGGAATCAGTTTTTCCATTCTGGCACAGTTTCTCACACAAAGCTTGTTGGTCATTAAACTGAGATCTAAGACTGATTGTAATTATTTTATTTGCAAAAGAAAAATAAACAGGCCACACTAATTTTATTTTTTTTAAAATTAATTTCACCACATAGTTCTTAATATTGATGCAAGTCCCACCTAGTTTCTTTCCCAGGTGAATACTCAGTAATTTACCAGAAAACCCTACAAATCCAGAACAGAGTAATTTTTGCCCCTTGTCCCAGTTTCTTTTTTTTTTATGTTTATCAGGCTCTAAAATCCACCCTTAGCAGGTTTTACTGAAGACCAATGGAAGAGGGTAAGACACTGGGCGTTGTCTTCGATAAAAGCAGCCTTTAGTGGCAATGCTAATTAGCCAAGGCCGTTAAATAGGTGCTTAAAAACAAGCCAAGAATGGGGAAGTATAAATCGCTTATTTAACAACCTATTCCACTCTTTAAAACTGTACTTAACTCCATAGCTGCTTTACCAGCATTTTCACAAAGTTTTCCAGGTCACTGAGGTTCTTTTTTTCAGTCTCAACAGAATGTATCAATTTTCACACAAATTTCACCCCCCAAAATGTAATATAAATAGTAAATAATAGAACTCCCGTGCCTCTACAAACAAAATCAGACTCCTCCTACATTTTATACATTAGTATTTCCTGCAAAGACAGGTTCTTTGAGGACAGAGGTGACAAAGATGTTGGGTGACCCACTGGCAAGAGCTATCCAAGCAAAGTGATCAGTGACTAAGCTGAGCTTCAAACCTGTTGAATGCTGAAAATCAATACTGAGATTAGGTGTATATGAGGCAGTAGAAGGTAATAGAAGATGAATTAGGAATTAATCTTCTAAAACAGCTGCTGCATCTTGTGGACTTACTTGTGGAAGAGGCTACAAAGCTGGAGGACCTCCGTTTGTTACTGTTAGTGAAGAGGACAAGGAGAGCATTTCTACTCTCCTGCGAAGTGCCCAGGCTCTTGGCAAACTTAACCAAGTTGTGCTCAATTCTATCGTTGAATACATGTGTTGTAGTTATCAAAAATCCATGGTTGGAGCTGCTATTTCCAACCCACTTGGAAACCTGGTAGTGAAAAAAATAATGTTTCAATATTCTTATTACAGCATTATGAGTAAGCAATGTTTGTATTAGAAAAAGGGAACAGGCAACAAGCTACGAGAGTCTAAGAACACATTATTATGACAAAAGTGAGGGAACTGTGTAGCTGTATTTAAAAATAGAGAAAACCATATGCATTCCCCAAAGCTACATTTACAGGAAGATAGTTTCAGATAATTGATTAGTGAATAGATGAGTCTAGGGAGTTAAAATTAACATTAAAATAAATCCTCTCTGACTTTACCCAGGAATTTATTTTTCATTATAATCTTAGTAACAGAAATTATGAACTCTTCAGACTTTCCATACCATTAAAATTCATTTAAATATAACAAACATGGCATTTGAAGAAATTAACTCTCAATGAAGGAAATTTACTTCATCTAATTGTTGTAATTACAGACTAATAAGATAAGGACAGCCATTCTCAAACAGGGCTATAATGCCTTAACACAGAACTCAGGCAATCATCTATGCATGCTGTTCAGTCTGATTACAAAGCTTTGGCAATGAAAAACACTGTTCAAGAGCACAGATTTATACCCAAGAAACCTTATGTTTTAAACCATGTTTGTTTTGTTTGTTTGGGTTTTTGTTTGTTTGTTTTGTTTTGCTATGGAAAGACATCTACTTACTGTTGTAATTTAAGGATATCTGCAAAACAAACCTTGAAACTAACAAAAAAAGAGGTCTACAGAGGAAGTTAAATGGAGATTTAGGATGAAAATGAAGTCAAAATTCTCTGCTTACTGTCTGCGTGACATTGAATACTTCCCAGCCTTCTGTGTACAGGGACAATAATCTTGATGCAATTAGATGTTTTTTTTGTGGATTACCTCCACTCTCTAAGAGCTCATACACTTCCACCTTGATGAGAACAATACAACAAAGTAATAAGAAGTTAAAACAATTGTTCTACCAAGACAAGGAGAATGAACATACATTTTAGTCACATCATAGCTGAAAAACTCTACTCTCATTCTAAATCAAGCAAAAATTAGTTTTTAGACAGTTTAACAGAAAAACAAGTTATCAGTATATACATCTACTCCTCTGTGTGCTGAAAGGCAGGATACTGGACTGCTTGATAACATTACCAGACTGTTTGATACTATGAAATAAATAAGCTTTCCATTCTCTTTTGAACATCTGACACTGCTGAGGTCTTCTGCTCCTTCACATCTTTGCCTTCAGGTTTGCAAAGTCTGATCCTACCTGATGCCAAAGGATCAGGTACTATAGTCCTCACCTGTTCTGTTTTCCTACGTATCCCAGATTGCTATTGCCATTTTTTTAGAGTGGCTCAAGCAATTTTATTTGAATTTGAAACTTTTGAAACCCCAGGAAAGTACGGCATGGTTTAAGAAAGGTCTGACACACATCTCTTTAGGGATAGCTCACTGCTGCAGCGTGCAAAGGACAGCATTACTGTCAAAGCTAAAAGCTCCCGTCTACTTCTTTGTGCAGTGCAGGCAAAGAAAAAGCACAACAATCGAATAAAAATAGAGCCGGTTTATGCAGCAAATGGTTGCACTGCTCGTTTTTGTATAATTAAAAATGAAATAACCAGTGTTTAAGTGCCAGAACGTTTCCTCACTTACTCTGCAAAAGTGTTTCACGTCGGACCTTCCAGACATGTGTGTCCTCTTCAGCTTGAAGACCCTGAACTCCGCTTTCAGCATCTGCTCTCCCCTCTCCATCGCGCTGATGTCGAAGTAGAAGAGGTGCTGGTCCACGTGCACTGGAAGAGAGCCTCCTTTAGCAAGGGCGCAACACCCCGCAGATTGAGCGGCACCCCCGCCTTCTCCATAGCAGCGGCGGGGTCTGCTCACGCTTGCCGGGGGCCAGGGAGGTGAAGGGGCTCGGCAGAGCGCACGGGGCCGCTCGGCAGACGCCGCCGCGGCTCCTTCACCTCCCGGCTAAGCCCCCAGCCCACCTCGGTCCTCGAAGCTGCGCACCACGTCCCCCTCCAGCAGCCCCGGGGCGCGGGTGATGCCGTTGGCGTCGGCCACCTTGTTGAAGAGATCCACCATGAACTGGGGTGGCTTCTTATGGGGTAGGACGTCGGG